CAAGGTTGTTAAGATCAGGATCCTACGTAAGATCGTTTTTGAGTTTTGCAAGATCGGGATCGGGATCCTAAGATCCCACAAAATAAAACATAATTTTAATTTATAATTTTTAAACATGAAAAATATTTCAAACATTTAATTTTTCGTTCAAAAGTTATAAAAACTTCAAAATATTAGTCATAAGTCACAACACAAAATTATAAATGGTAAATAGGTAAAGGGTAAAAGACATAAAGTGGTAAAAATAATTTTCATTTGCAAAAAAAAAAAAAATCAAAGGAAGGTAGGATCGGATCGGATCTCGATTCTACGATCCTACCTACGATCCTACCCAAAATACGATCCTTTTACGATCCATATCGTTTTTCATACCTAGGATCGTAGGATCGTACGATCCTACGATCAGGATCACGATTTTGACAACCATGGTTGGTCCTACAACTCCCCGAGCTATCAATTAACAAAAACAACTAATTAACATTTGGGATCTACAACATTAACCAAAAAATCCTTGCATGGGGGTAAAAAGACTATTTTACCCCTAACATAACTTGGTCCATGAATGAAACCCTAAATCACAATCCAATGGCCCAAAAGTTAAACAATCCATTAAAGCCCAACATATGGCCCAATTTTCAATTGGGCCCAATCTCTTCACATGGGCCTTAGCCTAAGGCCCAATAATGCTTCCCTAGCCCAAAGATTCGATTCCAGATGGCCCACTAACGCCCAAGACACAAAGTCCAAGAAAGTAGCCCATTCGAGGCCCAAAAGACGCAAAGCCCAAATCCATTGAGTACGTTGGGCATACTCAACTGTACGTTGGGCGTACTCAACCGTACGCTAAGCGTACAGGCTTGTACGCTCAACGTACTCACCCATTAAGCCATAAACCCAAAAAGCACTTAAATCCTTAAGACCCAGGGTTCCAATCCCAAATCGGAGTCATGTGAAGTGTCTTAAACCATAAAGTCGTAAACTTGGTGGCTTTGCATGCCCCAAATGAACCAAATCTCGAAATATCAAACACTACTTCCATAAAATGAACCCAAACTCATGCATGGATGATTCAAAGCCTCAAAGATTGCAACTTTATGACTCAATGACCAAATGAACACCAAGAGTAGCAACTCTAAGCTTCAGAAATGACAATAACTCACAAGATCTCATCTATAGGACCAAAAAAGACCCAAAAACTCAAACAAAGAAGACCTAAGCACTAACAAGGCAAGTTCTGAGCTTTATACCTCAAATGAGTGCCAAATGATGAAGATAACCCGGATCTTCAAGCTTAACTCCAACAACTCTCCTTCACCAACTTTTTCTTCTTCTTTCCAAGGCACCAAACTACCAAAAATGCACTCCATAAGTTCAAGAACACACCAAGATGATAAAGGGGTCGATTTTAGGGTTTTTGGACAAAAGAGGATGATAAGGGGCTAACCCATGGAACTTAATGACATTATATATGGCTGGAACCCTAAAAATTAGGGTTTTTGGTCCTGACCACGTACGATGCACGTACCTCTTCATATGCTAAGCGTACGTGAAATGCCTCCGTGTTCCATAATGGACCATTACGCCCAGCGTACGGCCTCAGCAAGCCCACTCAAATAAGGCCCAATTCCACTAAGCCCACACAACTTGCATAATTAAACAATTATATAAATAATTAAATAATTAAATAATACCTTGGAACCATCGGGCGTTACAATTCTCCCCCACTTGGATCAAACTTCGTCCTTGAAGTCCATTGTCTCGAATAACTCGGGATAATGCTCCCTCATCTCCTCCTTAGGCTCCCACGTCTACTCAGACCCCTTGAGGTACAGCCACTGCACCTTTACCAGCTCCACAACCTTGTTCCTCAAGGTCTTCGTCTTCCAATCTAAAACTGTCACCGGTCTCTCAATGTAATTTATGCGGTCATCCACCTGAATATTCTCCAAAATGTATAACTGCGGAATCATCCACTAAACACTTCCGCAGCTGAGAGACATGAAAAGTGTTATGAATCTAACTAAGCTCGGCTGGAAGATCAAGACGATAAGCTACCCAGCCCACCTGAGCCAAAACCCTGAAGGGACCAATATACCTGGGGCTCAGCTTTCCCCGCTTCCTGAACCGGATGACACATTTCCAAGGTGACATCTTCAGGAGAACCATATCTCCCACCTGGAACTCCAAGTCTGACCGGCCCCTGTCAGCATAGCTCTTCTGCCGACTCTGAGCTGTCTGAAGCCTGCTCCGAACCTACTGAATCAGCTTAGTGGTCTTGAGCACCACCTCAGTACTCCCCATGACTCGCTGACCGACCTCGCCCCAACAAATCGGGGTCTTGCACTTCCTCTCGTAGAGCATCTCAAAAGGAGGTCGATCGATGCTGGCGTGATAACTGTTGTTATACCAAAATTTCGCCAACGAAAGATACGTATCCCAACTCCCACCGAAATCCAACACGCACGCTCGCAGCATATCCTCAAGAGTCTGAATAGTCCGCTCACTCTGGCCATCAGTCTACGGATGATTAATGTCGTACTGAAATGGAGATGAGTCTCCATCTCGTCATGAAACCGCTTCCAAAATCTGGAAGTAAAGTGAACATCCCGGTCTGAAACCACTGATACCGGCACCCCATGACGTGCCACCACCTCCCGAACATAAATCTCGGCTAACTTCTCTGCAAAGATACTCTCCTGGATCGGGATGAAATGCTCTCTCTATAGTGTTTCACCGAAAACACCACCGCCACCGTCGGAAACCGCCACCACCGCCGGAACCAACCACCGGAAACCACCCCATCCCTCACACCCCCTCTCTACCTCTCTCTCGTTTTTAATATATTTCCATTTTACAAGAATATAAAGTTGCCGGAAAAATCTTATCAGTTACCCTCTTACCTCTTACAGGAGTCACCACTCTCTCACCAGAGTCTCCAGCCTCTCCTCTTTATCCCACCTCCACTTCAGTTTTCATCAAGAAAAATCCCAACTTCGATTCTTTATTTACAGATCTTTAGTTCATTAGACCACGCAGACACCGCCTCTATCAGTGACGACGACTTTTCAGATCTGATGGTTTATCAGATCGGAAGGTTTTGAAAGAGGTCCAACATCGATGCTTGTAGGCATATCCTTCACCCTCCCTGTTTCTCTCATACACATAAACGAATGGGGGTTTCGGTAAGAGAGGTCGAAGATGAGAAAATGGCGACGACACTAGGGTTTCATCGGATAGATGGTGGCGGCGACGTCATCTTTGTCTTTACAAAGGCCAGACAACGGCGGTGATATCAGATCTATTGGAGGCGAAGAGTTGATCCGGTGAAGGAGATGAACAGATATGGGACAGGCGACTAATAGATCCAGCGAATCCAACAAAGAAGACGAAGAACTGTGGCGAAATGGGCAGCACCAGTGTATCGATTTACGAAGGATCGCTCTCTTTTTTCTTCTTTGACGAAGTTAGTGCCGGATAAAACGGCGGTGGCCCGACAGTTAACGGTAGTTCGGTGGTTCGGCTGGCAGTAGTTAAAAGTTATTGATTTACTAGGGACAAACATATCACACAATGTTTACTAAACACTCGAGTGACATACATGTTGCCATCATGATTGTATATGTCAACAACATTATCATTACATGTGATTACAAGTTTCTATTTCATCAATAAGGAAGGCAACGTCCAGTTAAGTGGTTATCAACCCTAGTGTTCTAGTATATATTTCCTTGTATGTTCTTTTTTTTAAACAAGTTGGAATAATGCAGTTGTATTAGACCCTTGTATCCCTCTCGCATTAATATTTTATACGAAGAAATCGAGCACACTTTCGGATGTGCTTTTGGAGAGGATAAGACTTATGACTAGAAGACTTAACTTTATGTTATGTATAAATGCAAAGTTAGTTTTTGTCTTTGTTATGATTTAAGCACTTCAACAAACGATTCAACGATTTCTCAAACAAAGTGATAATGCAAAACGAAAACAAAGACACAATCAATTTACATGGTTCACAAATCAGGATGATCAACTACGTCCTCAGTGAAAATGAGAGTTTTATTATTTCTATCGTAAAAGGTTCGGTACGATACATGAGGTTACACGAATTCATGTGATATATATACTAGTAACTTAAACTAATATTGCCAATAAGGTCAAGCCTAGAAACTCAGTCAAATCAAGTCAAATCAAAAACTGACCCATGACAAGATCTAAAGGCTAATCTAACATAGAAACTAGCCCACGAAAAATTTCCTCTTCGAGCGCTACCCCCAGCCCTGCAAGAGGCAGCTCCCTCTTGACTCCCACCCGCTCTCAAAAGAGCGGGGCCCCATACTTGGTCTGCCTAGCAGCTATATGGTCAAATTTACAACTTAACAGTCTTCTCTGTGGATGTAGTATTTGTAACACCCATATATTCATCTTTTTGCATATTATGTATGTGGGGCCTTCCGTTGAGATTAGACATTGCATATGTTTGGCAAAATAGTTGGTAGCTAGTAATCGGAAGCTATAACTTTTATTTATGTAGAAATGTTTGGCAAAAATAGTTGCAAGTTTTTTAAATGTGTAAAAGTACATAAAAAACCTCAAAAGAAAAGATATTTTTCAAGGAGCCCTTTTTCTTTAATATAAAAGCTTTAAGCTCAGTTCATATTCCCAAAAGAAAGTTTTCTTTAATTCAATTTTTTTTTTTAATTTATACCCATTATAAGCAAATAATGTCGTTAAAATGCTAAGCTAATCTTGAAGAAAAGAAAATGTTGCACAGTGTGGCCATGTTGTTAGTTATAGGCTTATAAGAAACTCACGATCACAACTCACTTTCTGTCCATGAATGGGTTTCTATCTTATATAAACTTGATCCCCACTTGAACTCTTCATTTTTGTATCCATATGGAACGAGTTATTACATACTGTAAGCCCAATAATCTAACTACATATTATCCAAAGACAGCTATTCTATATGAATATAAATAGAGATTTTCTTGCCTTGTTAACTATTGTGTAGTAATAAGCTCCACATCTGCTGAAGATTGGCCACAATTATCAATCTGAAGAGATGCATCTGCATCACTACTGTTTTCTGCAGTGGTGGATGAAGTATCATTAGTTGTTTCTGGAACAGTTGGAGAAGAAGCAAGAAGAGAGAGACGACAGAGAGGACATGTGGTGTGAGTTGAAAGCCAGTGATCAATGCATTCCACATGAAATACATGCTTGCAAACTGGTATCTGTTGCAGCCTATCATCTGCTTGGTAGTCCCCAAGGCATACAGAACATCTGCAAATTTAATGTCAACCAACTTTTAAAGCAATATGGCAAATGTGAAATGGATAAGATATAGATAGCAAGAAGATAAGAAATGATGGCTTCGAATTCGAATCTAAACGAGTTGTGTCTTAGATTTGATACAAAAGTTACCTGAATTCCAGTTATCTATATTAGAAAAAGACGGATTACATGGTTAGATTGATTTTTCTGATAAAAGAATCTCAATTTCTTCAAATCTTAGTAGTGAGATTGTAATCATGTAATGCATCATCTAAAGATCTGCTATATATAAGGAAAATAAAGAAGCACGAGACTCACAGGGTATCAGTTACAGAAAAGCTCTCCTTGAACACAATAATAGGCAACATCTCCCTCAGTTCTTTCTTCAGCCCCAAATCAGCTTGCTCCTGCTCGTAATTGGAAATAAACAAGATCAATCCAAAGATATTCGCAGGTTTAGAAAAGGAATCTGCATCAGAAAACGTAAGTAAAACGATAGATTTGTATGAAATCATAAATACTCTCAATGCTATGATGCGATTTCCGAAACCTAGATAAATCGAGATCAATCAGTAGCAAGAAGAAATTGATACCGTGGATACCGCATTGTTGACAGATGAGGGTTCCGACCAATGCGGTGAACGGCGGCGAAGACGGCGGAGGCGAAGATAGAAGAGATAGAAGGACAAGAAGAGGAGTAACGTGAAGACGAGGGTAAAAGCAAACGCAAATCCTCGGAACAGCTTTACTTCGGCTGATAATGCCCTCCTCCAATTCCAACAACTACTGCAACCTTCTGTGTCGCCTGATGGTGATGATGATTCGTCCGCAGAACCAGCCATTTCAAATCAGCTGGATTTACAGAAACTTGAAGGCATTCTCACTTGATCGATGCTGCCATTTTAGAACAACAGACAGAACTTGTGCTGCACCAGGCCTAACATAACTTTTGGCTACCGTAGAAATCACTTGCCTAACATATACATTTACTATTTTACTTTCTTCTATTAAAAAATTAAAAATAAATTAAAAATAAATAATAATAAAAAAGTCAATTATTGTTTAAAATCTTAAAAATATCTTAATTTTTAGGGTAAAATATAGTTAATTTTAGTCAATGTTGTTAAGATCTCAATCTTGATATCAATTTTGATCTTTAGATTTTAAGATCTTCCAAGTCAAAAACTCAATCTCACTAAAATCTATCTTAAAGAAAATCTATAATGGGATCTTGAGCTCTGCTTCCGAATTTACTAAAAGGAGCTAATTTTGCCATAGAGACTTTTTTTCCATCCACAGAAAACTTAAGATATTGATAATAATACCCTCATTTTAATTTAGAGAATTAAAAAAAAATCCCTTGATTTTGTTTCCAAATGAAGCACGACATTCCTTCTTCACTTCTTCATATTTTGTCATTGCTAATGTCTAAATTATCTGCCGCCTCCCTTGCCGTCTGCTACCATCGTTTCTTCTTCTTTCGTAGGAGAACCCCAACGAAACCGCCGATGAACCTTTACAAAACAATGAGAGAATAATTTTGCAACAACAATTTACCACTTTTACATGTTTCAGCTTTCTCCTCATGCCGTCATGCCTTTCCTTGATTCACTTTACATGATTGGTTAGAACAGGTATGTGAAAACCGACTAATGGCTCTTCCTTCCGTAAATGATTATGATACATAAGAGAATGGATTCGGTAATATATATATATATATATATATATATATATATATTATACGTCTACCTTTTTTAAAAGAGTGTGTTAGACTGAAAGATTCAGTGATATTCATGACCTTGAAATGATCTATGACAGCCACCTATTTATCTTTATCGCTTGACTCATCTACCCTTTGGTCTAGCTGAAGAAGTAGTCTACAGTCACCCGAAGCCGATTCAACTAGGAAGGCTTTATTTTTGTTGGTTTCAGAACACCAACAATTTGTTCAAATCTTTACATGAAGATGACTTTCCAAGAACAAGATCATGATGTTGTTTAATGGGATCTTCATCATTTGAAGGAAGTTTGTTATGTAACTAATAGTGGATCACCAACAATGTTTACTCATTATGATAAGGATATACCAATGTTGAATATGTGAACGAAGGTAACTGTGTTCCAAATAATGTCAATGCTGAGAATGATGAGATATCAAATTATGTTGAGAATGATGAAATGAGTGCTCAAGCTTAAAAAGAAGATGAAGTGGTGCTCCAACGAATTCCATGGAAAGGGATAAAAAATGGTGCGGACGTGCCATTAATCTGAAAGAGGGATAGTTTCCATTAATCGAATCAATACCATCACCTCCTACAGCATGCCCTACCTCCTCCCACCAATCACGAGCCCTATCCTTCAGGAGGCAAGATGCTAGTCTGACCATGTCCCCCTCGGGACAACGACTGGTACGAAAGGCGTTGGCAACATCTGCCAACCACCTGCTGCTCACAATAGGGTCTGTGGCCCCATGATAGTCTGGCGCTCCACATGCCCGAAACTCCCTGAAGGTTAGAGAGCGCGTCCCAATCAACGCCACAAATCTCAACATGGAAGGTGCTCAATCTCTCATCAAGAATCTCCAGAATACCCTCCTTAACTGAGCCAAAGATCACAGGAGTCTGATCAAGATAAGCATCATACTGAAAATAGATCATACAACTATCAAAATAAGCATCAATATGCATATCGGGGAAATCATAACTACACAAGCTCCGTGGCTTCATTACAGCCCTCCTTGAATCGAGTACGGATCCTCTACTTCCTGTAATACGGGCCCATATTACCTTCCACGTCTATCCGTACTTTCCTCAAGAAGTGCCTTCACTCAGCCAAGTTACTCTATAACCAACAAATCCCTCGCAGCTAGGGCTCCCAACACTAAATCTCATCCTAAGTTTTCCTAAGGCAGACTCCACACCACTATCTGTCATCAGCTGCAGAAGGAACTCATGCTAACCTTCTCTAACTAGCTCACGAATACAATTACATATTACAAATACTAGATAAATTATCGAATGAGAGGTCTCTCCCTACGACGGTTGGACTCAAACAAGAGCTGCGCAATAGAGCTAAACCTAACCTTCTGAAATTATTTAGTTTTCATAATACGTAACTTAGCATATTCACTTACTAACTAGTTGAGATTAGCAAGAACTCTTAAAAGCACAAAGCAAGCAGCATTCGGGCATCAAGTAAACATAACTGAACATAACCTAATCAGGCCATCCTATCACTGACTGATCAGTACTAGCATACAAATCTATAAGCTCATCAACATGCATATAAAGGCATCCCTCATATATCCTTAGCCCTAATCTAGCATGAGATTCACAATTCACAATTCATATCATATATAAGCATGTATAGGTATTTTTAGGATAACTTACTTGAGCTCGGCTGATTGCACGCACCACACCCTTTTCTCTTTTAGAAATTCTTATTATAAAAATGTTTTCTTTTAAAATTTTCTACCAAGTCCTTAGTTTGAGTTCAGACACACCCGAGAGTGTGCCCGAATACCTCAAACCAAGGCTCTGATACCAACTTGAAACATCCAAACATATGGTCCCAATTATTTTTTTAATAATAGATAAAATAGTGATTCTAATAACATCCAATCATCTCAAATAAAAATCAATGTATCAATTATCATAAAATCAGAGTAAAACATCATGTGCGGAATCCCAATGGTGTGTGCGATGCAGTCATCCCGAGCTCTTCCCCTTGGAACCAGAAGTACCTGAAACATAAACTAAAAATTGTAAGCACAAAGCTTAGTGAGTTCCCCCAAAATACCACATATCAAACATACAATAAACATATAGTGGGCCCCTCCCCCCCGGCTTCGGACCCCGTCCGACATCGAGTCGAGCTCGGTAAAACGGGCCCCGCCCAACATACAATAACATATATCAACGTAAACACATACTCATGCAATAATCACAGAGATACATAGCATACAGAAATCCATCAGGCCCCGCCCAGCATCGAGCCTTAGCCCGAAAGACATACAAGCACATGCAAGAGTCACGAAGACAACTAGCATACTAACAACATAATATAAACATGGGCCGGCCTTGGTGCCTTCAACCCGCTAAACCCGGTAAGGAAACTCACATCGAATACAGAAAGGTGGCTAAATGGATCCCGGCTCCGAATATTGACTCAATTGCACCCCTAAACTTAAAAGATTTCCTTAAGTTCAGCACAAAATGCCCAGAATCCCCCCTTATAGGTCAAACTTGGTCAAAGACTAAAGTCGAAGTCAAAGTCAACAATCTGAGTTGACTCAACTCACCGAGTTTATCTAACAGTCTGCAAAGTCAGGAGAAATCGATCCAACTCGCCAAGTTCCTCCATAAAGTCGTCGAGTTCACCAAATATTCAACCTCTTAATCCATTAAGCCTTCCTTAACAAAACTAGGAGCTTCATGACTTAGATCTTAACTGAAATAGCCTCAAGAAGGGTAAAGTTTCCAACTTTACCCCTAAGAACCACCAAAATGGGTTCAAAACCCAAACCCTAGGCTTAAAAGGGTAAGGACTTAATCAATAAGCACTAAATCACCAAAGGCATAACCCCAAACTGTAGATCTGGCCCTAAGAGCTGAAATACCACGTAAAGTTTCCAACTTTACCTTCAAGTATACATAGAAGAAGCTCAAATGCTCAAAAGAAGCTATAAGATGAACTCAATAAATGTATGGAGCCCTTAAGACCATAAAGTTGGCACCTTTATGCCAAAAGAGCTCAAGAGGACCATAGATCTGGAAGAATAGCACTTGGGACGTCCTTCAACGCCACCAACCACCCAAACATGGCTAAAAGCATCAAAACTAACCCCAAAAAGAGATCTAATCAAATATAGATCAATGTTAGAACTTTATACCCGAAATATGTTGGAAATGGTGCAAATAATCAAGATCTTGAAGGCTCCTACTTGAATCACCACCTTGCACCAACATTCTCTTTCTTCCAAGGGCTTCAAACACACCAAAACACACTCACAAAGAGCTCACAACACTAAAAAAGGTCTTTAAGGTTTCGAGATTAGGGTTAGGGACTATGGAGGCTGGAAATGAGGCCAACACCTAGGACTTAAGGTGTTTAAATAGGGTGCACAACCCTAAAACTAGGGTTTCCTCCTGAGCGGACAACTCGCCGAGTTGAGGGACCTCAATCGTCGAGTTGCCTCATAAAACCCTGCAGTCAAGACAACTTCTACTCGACAAGTTTAGGCTTCCAACTCGTCGAGTTCTCCAATGAAAAATATAACAATTGCAAAGATAAATTCATACCGGGAACTAGGCATTACAATTCTCCCCCACTTGAATCAGACTTCGTCCTCAAAGTCCACTGTCTCGAACAATCCTAGATAATGCACCCTCATCTCCTCCTCGGGCTCCCAAGTCCATTCCGACCCCTTGCGGTGCAGCCACTGCACCTTCACAAGCTCCACCACCTTGTTCCTCATGGTTTTCGTCTTCCGATCTAATATTGCCACTGGTCTCTCAACATAATTCAGGCAGTCATCCACCTGAATATCCTCCTAGGGTATAACTGTAGAATCATTCACCAAACACTTCCGCAACTAAGAGACATGAAATATGCTATGAATCTGACTGAGCTAGGATGGAAGATCTAGACAATACGCAACCCGTCCCAACCAAACCAAAACCCTGAAAGGACCGATATACCTGGGGCCCAGCTTGCCCTGCTTCCTAAACCGGATGACACCTTTCCAAGGTGACACCTTCAGGAGAACCATATTTCCCACCAGAACTCCAAATCTGACAGGCGCTTATCAGCATAGCTCTTCTGCCGACTCTGAGATGTCTGA